AAGATCAATTAAGGCCACACTTAAATTTTAACTGGCTGTATCCTAGTTACTACACAAATATAATTTATAAAAGTTTGTATGAATAAAGTTGTGTTTTACTTCTTTTAAATATATATATATATATATATATATATATATATATATATATATATATATATATATATATATATATATATATATATATATATATATATATATATATATATATATATATATTCTCACGTATTGATTCACGGATGGAAAAATGTGATGACACTATATTCCGGGATATCATCCGTTCGCTCGTTGAATTCCGACTGGAATCCTGCATCCGACTGGAATCCTGCAAATCCTGCATCCGACTGGAATCCTGCAGACGTTTCGCCAAAATCTCTGAGTGTTCGAAGTGTTTTCGGAGCGCGAGCTTTGAAGATGCCAAGTGAGATTTTGGCGAAACGTCTGCAGGAGTCCAGTCGGATGCAGGATTTGCAGGATTCCAGTCGGATGCAGGATTTGCAGGATTCCAGTCGGATGCAGGATTCCAGTCGGAGTTCAACGAGCGAACGGATGATATCCCGGAATATAGTGTCATCACATTTTTCCATCCGTGAATCAATACGTGAGAATATATATATATATATATATATATATATATATATATATATATATATATATATATATATATATATATATATATATATATATATATATATATATATATACATAAACACTTCGAACACTGGGAGGTTATCGGCGGTGCGTGCGGTATTTATACTCTACGCCGGAGATGGTAACGGTGCTGCTTGTGCGTGGGGGGAGGTGGCTCCGCCCCCTGAATTGTCGCGTTGTTAATTTCGCCCGATCGTAGTTGCGATGTCCCCGTTGGCTGCTGCGCATCGCTCTGCTGTTTGATTATCGTTCTCCACGTGTTGGATAAATGCAGAGCGTCGTCTCTCGTATTGAGGTGTCCGAACTTTTCTATTTCGATGGCCTCTCGTATAATCCTAGTCCTAAAATCAGGAATATTAGCTATTTGTTTGCAAGTGCCGAAATCAATTTTATGGCCTGTCTGATGTTGGTGCTGAAACAAAGCAGATGTTGTTTGTTTGTTTCTTATGGCTAAACGATGTTCCTCGAGCCTGGCTGAAATCCTTTTTCAATTCAAAACTCCAAAATTCCAAATTGATATTCGTCTCGTGTAGATTGAAATTAATACCAGAAAAAATGGGCCTATGTCGCTGCACAATACTTTAAAAAAAACCGTACAACAATCAGCTTTTGACTCCATTTGGTTCCCAGAGCGGTGTGACGGCGACATAACGCACAATATAAATAAATAAATATAAATTTCATGGTATTTTTGAAATTATTTCGGTCAATTGACACAAAAAAATTTGACCGATCGCTAACAGCTAACTTAAACGCAGCGCGCATGAAAACAAAGAAAGGAACGGGGATAACATTTTCTGGGTTTGGTTAAACATTTTCTTTAAGAGAAAACCAGTTGATTCGGTACAAGCGACTAAAGCATATCGAGCTAAAATCCATCTGCATGGCAACTCTCCGAAGTAGACCCCAGACATGTGCCACTATCAAGCAAACGTTATCTGCTAGAGAAAAATCCCTTCCATTTAGCAGAAGACAAATGGAGTAATGAAGCGTAAACAATAACAAGATCAAAAAAACCATCTAGCACGTGTTCGTTCGATCCCGTTGCTCATTAATAATTACAGCCGCGGCCTTGCAACCCCTTAAGTGAACGTCACGCCAGGGAATATGCATCGCGCGTTATCTCGTCGCGAACCAACGCCAAGTGTTGATGATATCGCGTTTCGCGTTATATTTAAATGGCTCCCGAACGCTCCTGAATCTCGAATTAGGAAAGCAGGAATCTTAAAGACGACATTCTTATACTCCCCAGCGCCGTGTCTCTTTGCGATTGTTTTAAATGGAGACACGCGCGTACAGGAGGGTATGTTCGGAATTTAAATCGCCCGATTTGACAAAAATATGCGGAAAAGCGGGAAAGGGTTGCTCACATCCGTACTTGCCTCGGCAGCGGTTGTGCAGTATATATATAAAAGTTATTAAAAGGTTTTCAGAATATTGTTAAGAAAAATATTACAAAAATTAAAATTGAAAGGATTCACTACGCTTAGAGGCAGAATGCTTCGCTGGATCGTTTAAAATTTTATTTTATATTAATGCATCAAATAGAGAGATGAGTTTTGGTTAGTATGGTGCACGCCACGTTTACATGTATAACACTGTTATCTCCATTTACATCAGTGGCGTTCGTAACGACAAGCCTATATACCTAGCGAGAAATACTGTACGGGGCTGGTTAGTTAGATGCTTGAAAAGTGTCTCTTAGTGGGTAGTTAAAAAAGGCCTGAAGACCTCAATGCATGTTTCGAACACTTATAACATTATAAACGACCTTTAGAAAGGTAGTTTACTGCTTAGTTAATTGTTTGAATATGTTTTGATGCTCTTTTGAGGAGGAGAACAAAGTTGTTTCCTTCCTTTCCTAATCTAGTTGGCATTTTTTAATTGCTGTTAATTGCTGGCGATTTGGATTTGTGGTTGTAAAGTCATTTTTTATCCATAAATTGACTACAGCAATCAACTATTTAAATCCTTGTCATCTCCAAGGTCATTTAAAGCAACTGAAGCCTGGTTCACAAATTACCACATCATTCCTAACAATTTTCCAAAAACCTGAAACATTCAGAGAAAAAAATGTCCATTTAGAGGACGTATGAAAGTTGTGTTACTTAAAAAATAAAGTAGTAATATTAAAATCATATCGAGGGAGGATTATAATATAAAATAAATAAAATTTTCTTCACAACACTCGGTAACTGTAAATATTGTCCCACCTATCAAAATAAGTTTATAATTATGCAAACGGGACCCGACAAATCTTTTACGGTCAGATCAGATCAGTTTGCTTGTTGGTGATTCTCCGATTTGTCATTAAACCTATTATTAATGCTTTTTACAAAACTTCTGGATTCCTCCTGCGTTAATTTTTTGCCGATTACTTTCTGACATAAATAGTTCAGATAATCCCCACCCCAGTTCTCAAATTCAAACGTAAGCTTAATGTAATTGCATATTATCACAAGGGTTAATTTTACGAATCTAAAAGGTGGGTGATAAAGTTCTAGTTATAGTGAATGGCGTACTAGTCTTTTTCTGGAAAAAAAACATATTTATTTCAATAATACACAATGGGGCATACGAAAAAAAATGAACAATTAATATGTTTATACCTAATCTACTTTTAAAACGTTGAATTAAATTTAAATTCACAAAATTCATTTCAATCAATTGCAGAACATTTCTTCAAATGAAACTCCAGCATGGTAACTTTTATTTCAGAAGTGGTAGGAAACTTGAATAAACTTGTGTGAATTTCTTTCATAGAATTCTAAACTCAACTAATATATAAAAAAGCTACTAAAAAAGTTCATCAAATTTACTAACTTACAACTTACTCCTTTTTTTCGTGAACGGGGTAAGAAAGGCCACTCGAACATTCTTTGACGCCAGTCTAACGTTTATCCTGGCAGTATGAACTCAGGACCAACAAAACTTTTTATGCAATGATGTTTCTTATGTGAAATTTAACAACATTTTAACAATAAAAAAACAATAATTAGCTGTATGTTATTCAACTGCATAAATAATATACTAATAAATGCTTTACCTTCACACGAGCAAATAGCCATAGACCGCAAACCTCACTAATTTTATTTCCATAGTCAATATTCTTCAAATTCTTAAAAGCAAACATATTTCCCGTTAAATTTTTGTAAAAACACGAGAAACCGGACAGCCAAAAGAAAAACTGGAGGGAAACATTAAGTGGTCGTTTTTAACAAAAAGTGATTTACGGCAAGTGTCCCTGAGCAGGACACCTTGATTGATCGATTGTTCAAAGGTCACATGTGCTGATAATTGCCTAGAAAACTCTAGAGAGTTTCTTCGCTCGAAAGTTGAGAAACATTTCCCGCTATGAAATAGGGTTATTCGAGAAGGTGGAACGTTTTTCCGCGACGATAAATTCGAATTTATTTCCAACTGATAGATGTTACACAACTCTCTTGGTTTTTGGTCAGTAAAATTGCATGAAATCTAACTTCTGTGCAAAAACTTCATTGGATTCAGCTTCGCCCGAATTACGAACAGTTTTTTGGTAAAAAGACAAGAAGACCTTAATTCAACTTCAAATACACTGAATAATGCGTTTTTAAAAGAAATCTACCAACCAATAACAACTATATAGTGGATATTTTCATAAATCTTTTTTTTTAATTCATAATTTTACAAAAAATATATGAATTGCTCAGTCTTTTTGGTACAAATATCACAGAAAACTGCGACTTAACTGTTGACGTGAATACACCTTTTTGAATGGAATATCAATGTTGTTTTTTAATTCGTGCTATAACTAATATGATGCTTTCATTTATTATAAGGATATCCTGTCTCTCATATTTAGCGATATATTCATATTTTTATTTCTTTAGAGAAGACAGATTCTTTTTCATTGAACAATAAACTCAGCTTTAAAGCATTTTCAAATTTGTTTTAATTGAACCCGAGCGCCCTTTTCAATACGGAATATGTACTGGGTCAACATATATTTTGAAGGATATTGTCATTGAATGTTATGAGAAATATAATTGCATTTCTGAGAACTAAACATTGAATCACAGTAGGCATAGTTGTTATTGTTTGTCTTTCGTTTAATTGGCGCTTTTAAAAATCATAAATATTTAAATTGTCCCAAAACAACCTAAGATAAATAATATGAAACGCTTTGCTTGCTAAAAGGTTCGCTTGATAAATCACTTTCGACATATACAAATCTCACTGTAATTAACTGCGATACAATAAAGACTGTCATACGGCGCACAAGTGATCTAAATCCAAGGTATTTAGTTTAAACGTGAATGGTAATCTGAAAAATCGATACCCTACCCCGAAAGAAATTAGAAGAACGTTCAAGATCGCTAACATCGAAGGTTTGCCGACAGTCACTCGCGGCTAACTATTTGCAAGAAGATTCGTTGTGTACGAACCAGTTCCACTTTTAATTGCTATGGTTTTTCGCAAACATATACAGATTGCGGTAAGATACTGGTAATAAAATTAAATTTAAAAGTGTTAAGGTCCTTACGTCGGAAATTTATTTTATGGTCCATAATTACACGCTAAATAACTAGCTGTTGCTGTGCATTGAAACATTGGAATCGTTTATGAAATATTAACCTACAGCCTCAATATCTTCAATATCATTTCTTCAGATCATATCTTCCAATTCATTATACACTTGCTTTATTCGACGTTGCCGACTATCAATATTTGAGATTATGTGCAACATTAAATTATTTAAGTCCTAAATCATGAATAGAATTAGGAACTCACTTAAAGCTGACCTTGAAGGGAAAGTCCTAAATAATGAATAACATTAGGAACTCACTCAAAGCTGACTTTGAAGTGACTTTGTGCTGAAATACACTACCATGATGATCAAAAATAGTTTTAAATTTATTTTGTGATTCTTTCCTCACATGATAAATGGTAGCCTAATACATTTTCTAGTGGAGAAAACCCACTAATATAATTTTCATTAATTTACGATGTTACGTTTTAGGTGCTTATAGTTGTCATCGACATTGTCACGACGGGTAGCTTCATTAAAAATAAGGTTAGTAGGGTTGTTAGATTAAGATTGGTATAAATAATGTAGTATAGTTTATGCAATTCTAATTGAATAACACTGCGTTATTTACCAATTATCAATTCATTAAATAATCGTATATTATGACACGAGCTTCAATTGTTCATTGGCACCAGCGAAGCGAACACTAAAACGAATGACTGAAGAAGTTTATCACATACTTTTTCTGCTACCCATTATCTTTTAAGTATATTTTTGCAAATTAGCACGCATAGGGAATAATTCGGCCAAATTTTGATATCTTCTCTTTATCACTTCCTTAATTTTTTTTTTCAAAATTTAGTAGTAAGTAACTTTTCGATGTTGTACATTTGCACTAATTTGAAACTTTTAACATTTTCTATTAGTAAAATCTGCGTTTGCTTATTGCTTTGCAAGTAAATACAATTTCAATTCTACAGATTATTTTCTGAGATATCAGAAGACCTATTTTTTTTCTTTTGGGTTTAGAATATTAATTTTTTGAATTGTGCTTAGATAAGAAATTGCTTTTCACATGTTAATAAATGGTGAGATTTCGTTTCAGAAACAGTCATTGAGTAGAAAACATAAAACTAGCACCCAAAAATGTAAAATTTTTGAACAAAAACAGGTTTCATCACCCCCATTCAATGTGTGTGACCTGGTTGAAGCATGTCAAAATTCACTATCTGGCTTTCTACCCTGTAAATAGGTGTTATACAAATGGTAAACAAATTGCTTACTCGTTTTGAATGCCCATGCAGTAGTTTAGGTTTTAATTATAAATACCTATACTTAAACACCACGGTTATAAAGCTATTTATCTCAGAACTCTTACCAGTTCGGTTATGTTGTGGAAGCAGAAACTACCCTCAGTCAACATATGGAAGAAAGAGAAGGCGACTTCACCAGAGGCTCGTACAGTCTGTTACAGCCCGATGGTCAAATAAGGGTTGTTCGGTACCAGGTTAATGGACGCCAGGGCTTTAAGGCTTTAGTGGAGTACAGACCGCTGAGAACTGGTAACTATGTTGTTTACGGCAAAACAATCAAATTTCTCAAAAACTTGTATTTATTCTTACTTTTATTAAGATGTCATATATGTCACATTTCCTACTCGAGTAGAAGCCCACCATTGCATTTTTTAATGCGGCCGAAGGAGGAAAATCTAAATTTGGGAGAGTGTGTTCAAAAAATGGTTGGACCTTGTGCTCTTTCTATTTGTTTACATTATTGACCGTTTCGAAATATAATTGTTTAAATGTCATGTATTCCAAAAACGAGCAAATGCTAGCGTGCACAAATGAACAATCTTTTTCGCGTTGATTTGGTTTTAGATCAAAATTTTGGATATGGTAAGCATAAGTGTCCGACAATTGAGTCACTCATAAAGGTAATCTAATAAGAAAATTAGCAATTTTAGAATAGTACGTAAACCAACGAAAAAAAAACAAACTTAATGATCTCATCCTTCTTTTTAAGGCACCGTGGTGAGCCATTTGAGATTTCCGAAAGATTTCCGGTATCCAGTCGTATTCATACATCCGGTCAACGTTATTGATACAGATTTTTTTAACCATGTAATTAAAAAGCATTAACAAATTGTTAAAATAAATTTATATATCTGAATTGGATTTAGTTTTTTGTTGACATGTTAACATGACGGTAATGAACACAACTAACCCGAGTTCGCCAGAATTCAATTAATTACATTGATTAACATAGATACATAGTTGGGAAGGAAAACGTCAAACCATAGTGAACACAGTAAAAAGGGGCAAGAAAAATGGCAAAATAAGTGGGAGTAATCAAGTTAACTAACTAAAAAGTTAATAAAAAAATTGGCATCTATATAAGAACAAAATTAAGCAACTTTTGGCTTAGACAAAAGATTAAACTTTCCAAATTTTATTGAGTACATTTCTACAGGGTGACCAGATAAGGAACCAGAGTGCTGTATCTCGCAAACTAAACTAAACTATTCGCTGTAAAGGCGTCGATTATAAAATGTTATTATTCTAGTGGCCTAAAAAAGATCGAGAAAAATATTCTTAATCTTTTAAGAATAGAGCAATTTGCATTCGTATTTGGCCAGCTCGTACAATTATTTCTAAATTTTAAAATACTGTTAACAAAGTAAAATCGTTTTTGGAAATAAATATGAACTATAACTTCACTTTTTAATGAACCATTATTGTTAATTTATTAATTTATGTCGTTCTGTCGATGATATAAAGGTCAGTTTAGAAATACTAAGAATTACACAACACTGTCATAATAATAATATTCTTTCTGTAGTAGAGACTATAGAATCTTATTGATATTTTAAGTTAGCTGGAATTTGTAAGTTAATGTTACGTCGACGAACGTGTTATTTTTATCACCATACGTTGTCCTTCAAACTAGCCACCAACCGTATCAACGAATCTTTAGCAGGACCGTATGGTATTAGTATTAATAAACAATCCTTAAATGATTTTCAATACGATTCGTATAAGCCGCACATATGTTCACTTGCAATGCAGAAAGTAGTATAAACTACAGCGGATCCGATGCGCTTTCGACACCGCAATACGGAGGGGGTCAATATTTACTACCACTTTTTCAACGCAAGAGAATAAGGGATCGCTAATCCCACTAAAGCCCGAGGTATTTATTCATCTCATTCACTGCGCTGGGATTACTTTTAATAAGGGGTGGCATAAAAATCATTCCATGCCACTGGTGGCGCAAGTCTGTTTTGTATCTCATGGTTCAACAATTGTGTAAAAAAGACATTAACTGCAAAATTTCTTCGAAAATATTGTTTACTATGTCATTGTCAAAATTAAATAACTTTTATTCAAAACATGTGACCGTTGGTTGTGTAAAGAAGGTTGATTGATTGAGTGAAAATCTCTCTTAAATGGTAAAATAAAAGCTAGGTAACTCATTCTTTATTTCTTTTAAATAATAATATGTATTTTTGTTGCAAAGAGAACAACAGTATAACAACAAAAAATAAAAATATTAAACAATAAAAAATGCATTGCATGCATATTGACCTTTCAAATTTTTAGATTAAAAGATTGTATAAAGTATGTTAGACATATACTAGATGATGTTTCGAGAATGAAAAAACTTTTAAAATAAATGGATGAAAAATTAAACATTATAACCTTTAATTTTTCAATGTCCGTAGCTCACAGTTTTCGCTATCTTATTCACTGTACAAATTGCGGCATCAATATTTAAATTTCATTAACTTTTCGAGCAGCGGACCAACACCGCTCGAGTGGCTTTTTTTGCACCGTTCAAGATTTTTAAAAAATCAAGTCTATAATTAATTTCAGTTAAAAAATAGAATTTTTAATATAACCTTCAATTTCTTTGTACTTATTGCTTTAGCTCTCTAATCTGAAGATTTTTTAAATTTTGTAAACTGCGATGAAATTTAGTTATTATTCTTAATAATTCTTCTTCATTTTCGTTGTTATTTGAAAGCATAGAATTAGAAAAATATAACTTTTATGAGCATTATAAACTATATTTCTATGGTTATAACTCGCATCTTTGTTACAAGTTTGATAAAGCACGCCTATGGTTAATGGTGAATTGTTCTTACGCCTTATGCTAGTGCAGTCCTTTTCGACCATATGTTAGGTTTGCCCACGAACATTCGAACAGATGGGCCCATAGGCCAAAAAGTCATTAGATGATATTGTCCCGGTATCGACAAGTGCCTAAGCCCAGAATTATTTTATCATGAAATTTAAATTGAAGTACGGCTGGTTTTCCGGCGAATAAGTTTCTCATGAACAGTTGCGGTTTGTATTTTTATTATAAACAACAATCTTCATTCTCTTCAATAATGGAATATTTATTAGGCGATTAAAATTTGAATACAATCATTTTTCAAAATTATGAAATTCTATGACTATTTACTGCGAAAACTATGTAAGTATAGAGACAAGCATTAAAATTTCTATAATACTTGATATTGTACAGCGTCTTGTTTAAAAAATATATACTTTTTTAACACTTAGGTTTTAGCGAAAATTGTTGATTACTCGATAACCCCTAAATATGGGTTATTAGTTTTATAAATATATTACTATAGAAAAATGGACCAGTTGTGAGTTTGATATGTTGGTTGCATTATATTAGCACGTATGTCATGTACTTCGGTACTTCTAGAAGGAAACCAGTAATATATCCCTAAGTCAAAATTAACGTATTTGGTCTGTTCATAGATATAAGAAAGTGACCAACTGCTTTTGAATGGGATTATCCAAGGGTGGCCATTAACATACAATGCAACAAAATTATTACCTAAAGTTTCTGAATTTAAATTCAGGTAAAATTGTGGTTCGTAATAGAAAATAATTTTATACCTACCTGTGTTTAATATACTTTGGTTTGGTATACTACTTAATTTAAGTTTATTAGTAATCATTCTTATTTCGTGTGTAATACAACATGTGTTGAATCGTGTGCGAATTATGCAAAATATGTGCGAGTTTAGTGTATCTCAGGAGATGCTCTCGCCCAAAAGTCGAAAACACTATTCTATTGAGATAAAGGAAGTTATAAACAATATTTATTTGACTCTCATTGAACGTGGTGCCAGTAAGCAAGCATCTTTAGAAGAAACGGCCACATTGACGAAAGTTCCAACATTAACTGTATGGAAAATTGTGAATAATCCTATTTCAGCGAGGAAAAAAAGAAGCTATGCCGATATAAGATATCTTAATTAGGAGGCTTGAAAAAGATGAAACCGGTGTAATGTGGCAGAACTACCTTATGGAACCCATGGGTTTTAGATTTAAAATAATTGACAAAAGGCAAATTTTAATTGAATCTTTTAGAATTCGGAAATGGCGACTGTAATATCTAGAAAAAATTAGGATTTACAGAGAACAACAAAGGTCAATTATTTACTTGGATGAAACCTGGTTCGACACTTTTGATACCCTAGAAAACGGTTGGGTTGACTCAACTGATAAGTTGAAACGAGCTATCAAAAAGAGATAATGAAAATAATAACTATTTTGCATGCTGGCTCTAAAGATGGTTGGATTCCAAATGGACGTTCTCTGTCTGCGAAAAATATTAAAGATTCTTCTCTGGATCACCATGCAGACACCACCGCTGATTTATTTGAAAGTTGGTTTAAAAACAAACTAGTTCCAAACATTCCTCCTAATAATGTGATTGTAATGGACAATGCAAGTTATCATAGTAAACAGTTTTACTAAATCCGTTTCCTCATGTGACACAAAAGCAACAATCCAAAATTACATGTATAATAACGACATTTATTTTCACTAAGATTATACCAAAAAGCAATTAATTGAGGTTCTACAAAGCTTGAACCTACAAAAGGAACACGTCTGTATATTTAATCCCATTGAACATGTTTGGCACCAACTGAAATCTGCCATTCGTCGTAACAATGTTTTTTCCCGTGTTAACTCCAATGTCCTCAAACTTATAGAAACCGACGTTTTTAACATCCTTCCACAATTAGACCAGGCGATGATAGCGATAGTGATACTGATATATTATGTGAATAATTTAAAGTAATTTAAGTATGTAATAAAAATTATTTGTAATTTTATTTTAGATTTAAACATTAATACATACATAAATAAATAAATATTGTTTAGTATCTTTCCTAACAAAACCCCAAATAATTACATTCCAAGCAAAGTACGGACCTGTTCGGTCATATTTCATTTTTACAGCTTGGGCGGGTCTTTCCTTAATTCGTATCAGTTAGTCACTTTCTTATATCTATGAACAGACTTTACCTATACCGAAGTACTATGTATTACAATGAAATGTTAAAATCTTTTGAACTATGGCTAAGTTGCAGGATCCCGTTTGCTAAATGGAACGTAATAAATAAAAATCAATAAGTGCATCTGTCAGAACTCCAGGTCCATAACTCCGATTGTTACAATATTCACGGTTTCCCTTCAAATGCAATTGACAAGGTATTTGCCCCTCGATGTGGAGTGGCTACTTGACATCCAGTCCAGTGATTGACCTGTTTCAATTTTCAGAAACTATAACGACTAAGCTTAAAAATTAAGTTATTTTAACCTACTATTGCAATTATGATTCCTTTAGCTACAACTGTTGATAATCATACTTTTGAACGTAAATAACCTTCGCTTCTTTGTGAGCTCGTTTATTCAATGTAAGTAAGCTATTTAATAAATTGAATTTGATGGTGATTTGGTGCAAAAAGAGACAAATGTTGATGGGGCAAGTCTATTTTCACTTATAAAAAAATCAAGCTAAATTTACACATATTGTTTTTATGTGGGTACCTACGATTTTAATATGAATATTATATTTCAAATATTTTAGGATACCAAGCATTTTCAAATACTTCTGTTCAAGGAACAACAACAATAATAGTAATAATTCTCTATAATTCTCTATATTTCTCTATATAGACATAATAAGTGGATCTACAGTGTTTTTAGCACGTTATCAGCTTCCCAAGTTCTTTCTTCTATTTCAATGGCATGATATTTTGGAAGTGATGTTATGTCTTGTTACAAACCCTTTCAATTGCGCCCATACCGATTCTATTGGATTTAATTCACAGTAATACGGCAGAAGGCGCAGTACCGTTCTATATCGTTTAGAAACGATTTCCTCGACAACAAATTTGCAATCTCCAGTATTTCCCTTGTCCGCATATTTTTCTGAAATTGCTTCTAATTTAATTTTTTCCCAACAAATTCAAAAACACCATTTTCAAAAACAAACTTTGCTTACAACTTCCGGAAAGTAACTATAATTCTAATTTTATACATTAAGCCACATATAGGACAAATACCTGTTTGTCTACCTAACACGCTCGGGACCCTTGGCAATCATCATAGGTATAATACTAGGAATATGGAATACGGCTAAGACCACTAAGTCTTACAGTTCAATAATGATTTATAACTCTCTCAGTTCAGCCAGCCAGACGTAAATACATGAGTTTCATGTTCAGCTGACGTAGAAGTCCACTTATAAACTATATAGGCACCAGATATGTAGTATGTATAAAACAGAATAACAATAAATTATATAAAATTAATATATTTATAAATAGTAAACATGTCATAATAAAGTCGGTTGTTTATTTTTACATATAACTCATTTTATTTAATACGATTGATTTCTCTTACTGCTAGTAGTATAAAGTGACATACACATATACAGATGCTTAAAATTATAATTTTTCACACATACAAATGGACACTTTGTGGTGGTGTAATAATTTTCTACACTTTTTAACTGCGACAGAAACAGACCTAATCTATTGATTGATTGATTGATTATTTATTGATTTATTCTGACTTACTGTAATTATGGCAAGTATAGGTATACTGTCCAAGCAATAGTTAATGAATCAACCTTAACTAACCGACGAAGCGAACAAAATATCATCGACCTTCAAGTTTCAATTCCTGGCACTAAAAGCGCTTCAGATTCGAACGAATAAAAGTGATAGGGTCCCAGCACAACGCCATTATTCATAATATTTAATGGCAAAATAATAATAAAATTAATTTTCAATTAGCCGCAACGAATATGTATACGCGCATCTATGTACATGTACGAATATTGCGGGCCACATTATGTTCTAACGAACTCCAATCTGTCGATATTTCAACGGCGCGCCCGCCAGACACTTATTCTATTCATATTTTAACGGGCCGAAACATTGAAAACCGTATTGGATGACCGTATTTTACGGCTCCGCCCCCCCACCAGGACTCTATTGGCCCGTTCGTTATACCCTAAAATTCGCGTTCATCCCCTATAGGAAGGCCGCCAGTGAATGTGCCGCGAAATACGCTCTTCCACTTTCCCCCTTCTTTGCTTTTCTTCGAATATGTCGCGCTCTTTGTCTGCCCGAAGGTGGGATAAACTGGCTTCCAGCTGCTTCCGAGGGGTAGGTCGGGCGAGCGGGCGAACGCCCGACAATATTTCGAAGCTGCCCGCGTTTCACATTAGTCGCGTTTACAGTCACCATCAGAGAGCAATACGGAATCCGGAATAAGTTGGTGTGAGTGTTTTATTTTATGAAAAAGTGGGCCATGAATGTGCAGAGCCGGAACAAAGGCGACTCGAAACGAGACAAGGATACTCAGATCAGTTCGGTCAAGAGGCCATTCGATGTTGCGTTTCTGATGTTGCCTGATGAAAAAGTGAACAACGATGCCAGTAAAGTGGCCAAGAGTGAGAAGACCGCCGCTGTTTACTACGAAGATGACGAAGACGAAGAAATCGACATCGAGAATTCGACGTGTGAGTACAAAAACGTCTCCCAAAAGCTGTATACTCAGAAGCAGCAAATTTTCGACGACCCAGCCCTTATCAAAAGCAAAAAGGTAGATCCTCTACGCGGCAAGTTGTCATCGTACGATCAGAAAAGCGCTTTCACGAAAGTGAACCTTCCCAAAGAGGCGAGCTTGTCGCCCAATCTTTCCCTAAGTCCAGACGTTAACTACCAGCACTCTTTGAGTCCGTCACCCCCAATTATTAACCGAACATATCCCAACTTTGCGTCCAACATCCTCCCGCCTGGTCAAATATTCAAGACATCATATCAGATGCCGGAAAATATTCCGGCACACTCGGGAGTATTAGAGTCTCACTTCCTCGGGAAATCTACCGAATTCTTTCAACCGAACTTTCATAAACTGAGATCAGTCATGTACCGGCCGGAGTTACCTTACGGATATCAATTCCCAAACCAGGAAATTCTTAACGTTGTGTCTCCCACTGAGGTAAAGTTCCCCAACGAGATGAGGAGCCCGACGTCTGCTATGCTGACTTCTCTGCTGCCGCCTTCGTTGGCGGCTCTGTCGGTGCCAGCTCAAAATGTCTGCGCCAAATGTAACATAACTTTTAGAATGACGTCAGATCTGGTGTACCACATGCGATCTCACCACAAAAATGAAGCCGGTGACCCGAACAAGCGAAGGAGGGAGGAGAAGCTTAAATGCCCGGTTTGTGCGGAGTCATTTAGGGAAAGGCATCATCTGACGCGGCATATGACTGCGCATCAGGATAAGGATGAAGACGACAAAGGTGTCATCAAAAATTGCGCCTAAACATTGTTACCGCGATGTCCTGAAATGTTATTATTTTTATGGGGTAATGTTTTGTTGTTTGTAAATATGTACATCTGTATTATATGAATTTTATTTGTTATATCGCTTCAGTTGTTATGTGCAATATAATGTACCGTAGAGACGGGGTTGTTCCGACCACTATGTAAATCATATACATGTGCAAGTATGCGCCGACTATTTTTTGATTTATTGCTTGGACCTCTTGGATGGTTATGGTACGCCTTAACTGTATCTTTTGTTCAGAACACTTTACAATTCAGTACAACATTAAGGTTGTTTATACGAGACATAAGGTATATTAGAGGCTAGTTGCTCATCAGATATGTACCGAAGGTTTACATTTTTGGCCACAAGTTTTTCATTGAAATCATTAAAAAAATGCATAAGATATCAAAGAATTTACGTTTTGTAGTTTGAAAAGAGATGTAGAAATCAGGAAATTTTATAACTTAATATACGGAGGGGTAAATAAGATAGTAGCGCCCCCTTTTGGCAATATCAAAATTAACGACGAATTTAAATTATCCCCCGCATAAGCCCAAAATTCCGAACTTACGGGTACCCCCAATAGATAGATAAAACAACAGTACCAAATTGTACTTCAGATTAACCAACTAAATCTACGTATGATAATTTTTGGCGATAACTGATTAGTCCTGTGATTAGAATATGAAAAGTTACAAAATCGCTTCTTCTATTTCTAGTTGCTTTATTATTATCAAGACAGGAAAATCAGAGAGAGTTTTGAGTGTACTAGTTTGAACATGAAAATCACTAGGGCACAGTTTATCCTATTTGGGAGAGTGTGAGGGTTTTCAATAGCACAATTGAACGCGCCCAGGTAGCAATAAATGCTTCCAATCAATGTCTGTTCCAAAGTTTTGACAGCTTCGCATGATAAATCCTAACATTTTAGGGGTGATTTGACTGCAATATAGCTTTAATATTTCTAAATATTTCATAAAAAACAATAGAACAATATTCCTTAGTATTAAAATAGAGTTTATAATTCACGTTAAATGGCTTTTTTGAAAATTAGTGTTGTTTTACGCAATAAAAAGTTTTTCAAAGAGTCTATAGTGGTGCAGTAGTCTTGTTTTGCTAAATAAGCAAATTAGATGCAAAATCAAAACGTTTCCTATAGAATAAGTTTCCTATAGAATAAACTACTATTGCTACTGCCGCTACTAACACTGCTTTTCAATTCGATCTAAAGATAGTATGTGGGGATGCAAATAAAAATAATAAACTGGTTATTATGAATGCAGATATAAACTTTTCCTTTAACGTAAATACAATTTCCTTCATATTTAGCTTTGCAATAAACAAAATTTCGTAAGTTCTATAATAATAATTCACAACACTTAATTAAATTTGGTTTTTTAGATTCTATAATAACACGTGTTCTCATTTTGCATCGACGGACCACAGCTTATCATATTGTTATAGCTACGAATTAAATATTTGTTTATGACGCGATGGCCATTTTCGTTGTAATATCTCGAAATTGGCTGGTAATTACTTATTCGGAATACGCGATTTTTGGAAGGGTAATCGGGACATTTTTCATTTCCGGTAGACGTGGCCCCCGACAGATACGGCGCTATAAAAAAAGGGACGGACGGTTTCATAGTTCGCTTAAATGCAAATTGGAGGCTCCTTCTGCCATGGCGAGAAGAATAACGATATCGAAAGGCGGTCCCGCCGACACTTTGGCCCGAAAGGAAAAAGCGTCATAAAAACCGTTCAGTATGTTCGGTTATGATTTCGGAAAACGTCGATGCTCGCGAGAAGGGAACATTACTTCTGGGTCGACTTTACAAAGAAATTAAAAACCATTAGGTGTAAATGTTGCTTATCCATTTGGCACAAATTTATTTGTAATCGTAAACATTATGCGGAAACTTGAAGTAGCTTTCAAAATTAGAGGTTAATGTAAAATTACCATTCTCGCGAACCACGTCGGACGTTTCCCGTACTTTAGTCACGAGTTTGGGTGGGAACATCCGATCCGACAGATTTTGACTACTCAATGAAGAATGAAGAAGAAGTATAGTATTCAACGCGTTGATAAGCTTCTTCAGTCACTCTAACCTTAAACTCGTGACTAAAGTGGGATTTATCAAACTTATCGCATAATAAACTGTTAAGATGCGGAATGGGTCGCTGAAAGGTAACAAAGTTACTTTTTTTTACTTCATCACAGGCTAACCTTTTCCCAATGTAGATCATACCTTTTGTTTTAATTGTTTGGTATTTATTGACTTTTTTGGGCTTGATCGTTGCATTTGTAGTGTAGGAAGTATTTATCAACCTGCTTACTTTACACGAGTATTTGAATTCTTGAAAAACCTTCAATAAAAAGTATAACGAGAGATTGAAAATATATTGAAATTTTGTCAGGTTGATATCTAGGAAAACCTCACCTTATCTGGTTATTTCGGAAAAACAGAGCGAGGCCGCATCACTACAAAACTCATATATTTAATAAAAATATACAGGGTGATTTGGTTTTCTGTTAATACGAATTAGAGTTTCATTTGCCATCCACCTACCATCGACATCTAAAAATTGTACTCAAATGGTAATTCCGATAGTGGTATAGAATTTGAGGAGGGTCAACCAGCCACTTGGAAATGTCATACGCCTCTGGGAGTAGCCATTTCATTCAACATAATTTATTAGAGTGTACAGTACCATTTCCAATGAATTAATGCATCCTATCCTATTTATAATATACACAAAATCACGCGCATCATACTTATTATATAGAGACATGAAATGAGATCGTTTCTCTAAGTTTTTCTTCATTAAGGTTAGTAGCTCTGCAATGTGCATTTTTCCGGCACTGAAAATTTTGACTTATCTATATATTTTGCAAAATATTCTGAACTAATAACTTGCTTCGAAAATGTATCCTACATGGTATTATCATAAAAATATAACATTTTCGGGCAGTTGCAGCGAATGTCAACAAAAAGTGGAAAAATAAAGGAGGTCCTGACAAGATTCCCGATGGATGCCATTCAAAACTACACTGCATACAGAAATATAATTCAAATCAATTTAACCTTTTAAATAAATTTCCACTAACACGACAGTTTATGAAAATAGATTTGTCTTCGATCATTCAATGCAACATATCCTAAATAAATATATATTGGAAAACTAAGTTAAAAGCAAAACTGCAGAGTAAAAAGAAATTCCAGCAAATACAAGCGATCTTTAAAACATAGAGTACAACAACGATGTTTAAACATTCCATTGCCTCTAAGTAATTAAGAAAGAATTAAGAAGAAATACTTTAATTCAATCAAGTTTTTTCTTTACCTACCCATACAGATAATAATGAAAAATTTTTTATTAAGCTCGTCCTACAAAAATTTTTTTAAGCTTAATTTTAGTTAGTTTAGCTGGTCACTCTGTTAGGGCATTGGAAGTGTATTCCATATCCATGGAGTTGAAGCTATAGTTCTCTTTAGCTATCTGACATCAAACGCCTTAAAATATAATGTGCTGGTTGACGTGTTTCCTTCCTCTCGAAACTTTCGTTGCAGGTGCAAAGATGATCGAAATTTAGTATATCAATATAGTAAGTTAACCTCTATTAGAAAAGTGGAACCTTGCCGTTAGTAAATAAAGCATATTACACTAATTCCCCTCCAAACAACCATACCCTTAATAGAAAAAGCAAAATAATCGAACAAACCGGAGTTTCTTCTGTTGAAACTCAATGACCTATAAACGATAAGTTAACAACAATCTGGGGTGGCAGGGTGTCACGTGCCTGAGCGTAGCCAATTAAAATCTTTCAGCTTTGCCGCTGAACCAGACATAATTGATTCTCCACGTCTTGTAAGCGAGCCGAGTTTGAAAGCACCGTGTCACCGGATTACATGGGAGAATCGGGACAGAAGATTTCTCTATTTAGTCGTTCACACAATCGTATTGGCGGCTGGCGTGCGAGATCGGATGCCACTCGAACGCGAAATATTTTTATGGAGTTCATATAAATCTTAAGATTAACATTTTAAACAGTTGCTCAGAATAAAATGTTATAAAGATATGTAAAATTGCAGCCACCTACAACAATGAATAAAATGCCTTAGAGAAGTTTTTAATAATATTTTTACATATCTTTGAAATAAATATTATAATAATTATATTATATAAAATATATTAATTAATTAATATAATTAATAAATAATTAATTATTAATTATATAAAATATTATAAAATAATATTTTATATTGACTTCAGTATAAAGCTCGCTTTGATCATTTTTGTTGGCCCTATATATTATTTGGGTTGTTTTACGAGTAATACAAACATTTTCTATGATCATCAAAAATGAAGCCATATTTGCATTACATAACTTACTCTATTGACACAATTATCCGAATGATTTAGTGACCAGGGACTCTATAGAAAATAAAATAGATAATTTTCCCCGTCGTACCAAAAGTTGTTTATATTGGAATATTTTAACATTTCTTTAACATATTTATAAATATTTTGCTTTTTTTTAAGAAATTAAGATTATTTCAGTAGTTGTGGATAAGGTGTCCCACTGCTCTCCGCTTTGATGAATGCATTTTAAGCAATTTTAGACAAAATTTAAGTAAACAAAAAGGACGATATTTTTTGCAAACGGTAGATAATTTTGTAGTCGTCTTTAATTTAGAATTAAAAATTGTGTCAACTCTGTATAGCGATTCGAATCTTTTCGGTTCTCGAAGTTATTGCTCACTCAAAGTCCAAATAATTTTAAGCTTTTGTTTTACGGAAACCAACCCCGACGTATTTTCACCCTTCTTACGTAAATCAACTCGCAATAAAAACCAAAGGCGAGAGCGAAAGTAAAATTAAGTGAGCTACTTTTAGCATTATTCAATGAACATCTTCACCGATAGCTTTTGGTATCTGTCCCAAACTTTGGGGTTAATTAAGCTGGAAAATTTTGAAAAAACTTACTCCCAAGAACTTTTTTATTGTAAAATGATAAGGTATAATAGAAAACTTCAAAGTTTGTGTTTAATGGAGCTTACAGAATGCCCGCCTGGTTAAAAGTTTAAAAAGAGGAAAACAATTTTACCGAGTTCTACAATAAGTGTTTGGTTTTTGTGGGGAACACATGATCGAAAATACGATATAGTCATTGTAA